CCCTGCTCTAAGTGAAGAGTGTGAAGTAAATTTAACAAAAAAAAATTCCCCTACATTTGCCTATTTATTTATTAGTTTCATTTTTTTTTAGACAGGAAACAATTCCTTGCCATCTTGACTCTTCATGTTTCTCTATTGTTTTCTTTTTTCTTTTTTTCATTTTTAATGTTTTTATTTGGGACTCCCCAAAGCTGTTGGTTGTCAGGCAGCATATAAATAAAATAAACAGCATCTGCCTACTCCAGATCTTTGGGAATGACTCAGTAGCTGGACCAAAAATGTGCTGACATTTCTTTTGTATCATCTAAGTTGCAAAATGTTTAGTGCGAAGTTCAAACCTTTCCGTCTGTATCTAAATGAAATTATTAATTAGTGAACAACATCTCTGTTGACACTTTACATTTCTTGGTTCTTAATGTCAAGATGTAAATAATCTCAATTTATTGTTGTTATTGATAGTATTTGGATTGTTGCAAGTTGAGCTACTGTTTAAGCTTCTTTGGGTTGAAATATTTACTGCATTACAACTACAACATAAAGGAGACATAATCATTTAAAACGTTGGCTGTTTTTAACTTTTCGGGGGTTTTTGGTTTTTTTTAGAAATAAAGAGTAATAATAATATAATGGTTAAGTATCATCCTAAATTCTGGACAGATGGCATCTATCAATGTTGCCGGCAAACCGAAAAACTGGCACCTGGCTGTGAAAAGTATAATCTTTTTGAAAATGGTAAGTGCCACCCTGATGATCTGTCTATATTTTCATAAATGCACCTTTTTTATCTTTACAAATGAGCATGGTTGCTATTACATGATTCATCAAATAGTTTAATTAGTGTACTGCACACTGCTGTGGGCCCATTAACTTCATGTTTAACCATTGACTTGCAATTTATGAGAAAATTATATATTTGCTAATTGGAACATGTCACATTATCTTATCCTTCAGAAAAAAAAATTCTTGAAAGCTTAGAATTGTTTTAAAAATAAGATCTGGTTCCTTTTTATGTGTTCTCTTGTATGATTTTTTCCCCTTTTATTTTTTGTAGGGTAAATTGTTCATTTTTATTTTATTTTACGCTGTTTTATGTTTGTTTAAAAATGGATTGATATCTGGAAAAAAATTGCTCACCCAGGGTTAGTGTTAGTTAATTGTGTCAGAATTCCTTCCTTCCTTCCTTCCTTCCTTCCTTCCTTCCTTCCTTCCTTCCTTCCTTCCTTCCTTCCTTCCTTCCTTCCTTCCT